GTGTTCACAAAAAACAAGGGTAGAGATGGTACAAGGGTAGAATTGTTCTGCAGGCATATGTACACCTAGAGTACACTAGTAGTTGCGTGTCAATGTGAAAATGAATAAAGGCTTCACATGTTTTGTCCCGCATATAGTATGAGTCATTTGGTTTCAAAAACTCATTGTGGCCCTTGAGCCAAAAGGTTTGCCCACCCCTTCTCTCTTTCTCTTTCGAGTCCCGGGGATCAGGGCCTGGTCCAGGGTAAGCATAACGTCCTGAGCTGCCGACTCGTTGAAGTAGAAATCTTCATCCAAATCGAGGATAGTGATCATTGTTCTGATATTCAGAAGCATTTTTCGGTCATAGGAAATTATGGCGGAAAACATTTTGTACAACAAAGGTAAAGATCAACGCAAAAAAACACACAAAATAGCAGAATTGTTTAGGAGCCAATTCACACACTGCATACATGGCCAGACACATTGTAGCCTATCACTGAATGTGGCCACAATCTGAGGATGCACAGGATGCAATTTGCTACAAGATGTGGACAAGGTCGCACGTACTGGACATTGCTGTTATTTATCATATCTATATTCAATTTTCAGTAAACGAAACAAGAAAATGCACCATTGTGAAAGGAATGTTCTAGAGAATGGCTGGTTAGATACGTATCTCTAGCTCATGGTCTGTGTTCGTCCTCTAGTGTCAAGACTATGTTATGCCATTACACAGAAAAAAAGACATTAATGTAAAATAAACATTTTAGTTTGGCCTTCGTGATATGTCAGGAATTGTGAAAAACTGAGTTTAAATGTATTTGGTTAAGGTGTATGTAAACTTCCGACTTCAACTTTATATGGAAGTAGTTTAGTGTGAAAAATAAAGGGGTTAAATATTAGTAAAAATATATATAAAGAATTTCCTGATCTTTCTTATATCTCTCAGATATAGGACAAACACTTTAAAACAAACTTCCCCCTGTTGCTCACGGTCAGGTGCACATGATAACACCATTTTCCGAGAACTGTTTGGAACACAAATATTCATCTCAAATCTCAGAACAGGAACGGTATGTGCTTTTTTAGTTTTGTTCTGACGGCAGGCATCCAGTTTCTGTCTGTAAAGATTAGATTACATTTTAGATTTGTATTTAGTCACATGCACTGTAGTTGCAGTGTACAGTGAAATACATAAGCTCTGAAATACACAGTTTCACCTGCTGGTTTTGTCATGCATGATGCAAACAAATGCTTGTTGTGCTATCTAATGTTACACACGATACACGCTACCCACATGATGGAGGAAATGCTGTATGACAGAGTTAAAGAGGTGATAAAGACAAGGCTGCTTGCCAAAGAGCATATCCCCAGATTCATTTACATTTTAGTCATTTAGCATACGCCCTTATCCAGAGCGACTTACAGTTAGTGAGTGCATACATTATTTTTATTTTTTTCATACTGGCCCCCCGTGGGAATCGAACCCACAACCCTGGCGTTGAGAATATACACCATTTACCAAAATAGCAAGAATCTGCAACATCCTCCTAGAGTAACACTTTATTTTAAGTGTCCATAATAAACCATTTATAAGGCAGGTATAAGGCATTTATAAACCGTTTGCTCACCATTTATTAACCACATTTGTAAATGCATGTATATATACATTATATACATTTGTAAACACATGTATATATATTTCCTTAAACATCCTGTGTTCTGTGCTTGTTCTTTTCCAGGTACAGCAGGAATGTCTACCAATGGCATGCTCATCATTTTGTTAGAAATTACACTGGTCACTCAAAACCTTTATAAAGTATTCATAAAGTATAAACAGCACTCACTTTAGATTAGGGACTGCAAATAGACTGGTTTAATAATGTGGGAGTAATGATTCATAAATGGTGAACACAATTTATAAATGCTTATAAATGGTTTATTATGGACCTTAAAGTTTGACTTCCTAGTTGTTAATGTTGTTAATGAATAAACACAATTTTAGACAAAGACGAAAACCTTATAGATGACCATTGGCTTATATAATACTTTATAATAGCCTAACTACATATTTCAAATAGTGCATTTCAAGTGTTCCCCCCCCTGCCCACTTTAGAAAAGCGTTTAAATATTAGGCTACATAAAATTCAATTGAAGAAAACAGACTTAGATAGATAAGGAGAGAGAAAGACTGCAAATGTATTAATATTTTGGCTGTAGCCAATGGCTACACTAGGGAACTGGCGGTCTCTCTCGCCCTCTCTCTCTGTTTTCTTCTACTGAATTCAATATACAACCTTCTGTGTTTGTCAAAGAATGATACTGGGAGTAGTTTATGTGGATAGATTTCCAGTGCTGTGCTTTGCTTGACAGTTTTGCATATGCGTATCTTTCTGCCAAGAAGTGATGGGCTATTTATGTATTATGCTAATTAGATATAGACTCTAGGGGTTAACAAATACCATATTTGCCCAGAGGGAACAGGGTGAGTCAGTTTCAACATCGTTATGTAAATACCAAGAGTTCCAAGACATGTCAATACATGCCACTGGGTTAGGAAAGGAGTAACTCTGGACTCTCAGTGGATTTCGACAGCCAGGCATACATAAACAAAGCAAAAAAAGAAACGTCCTCTCACTGTCAACTGTGTTTATTTTCAGCAAACTTAACATGTGTAAATATTTGTATGAACATAAGAAGATTCAACAACTGAGACATAAACTGAACAAGTTCCACAGACATGTGACTAACATAAATTGAATAATGTGTCCCTGAATAAAGGGGGGGTCAAAATCAAAAGTAACAGTCAGTATCTGGTGTGGCCACCAGCTGCATTAAGTACTGCAGTGCATCTCCTCCTCATGGACTGCACCAGATTTGCCAGTTTTTGCTGTGAGATGTTACCCCACTCTTCCACCAAGGCACCTGCAAGTTCCCGGACATTTCTGGGGGGAATGGCCGTAGCCCTCACCCTCCGATCCAAATGGTCCCAGACGTGCTCAATGGGATTGAGATCCGGGCTCTTCACTGGCCATGGCAGAACACTGACATTCCTGTCTTGCAGGAAATCATGTACAGAACGAGCAGTATGGCTTGTGGTATTGTCATGCTGGAGGGTCATGTCAGGATGAGCCTGCAGGAAGGGTACCACATGAGGGAAGAGGATCTCTTCCCTGTAACGCACAGCTTTGAGATTGCCTGCAATGACAACAAGCTCAGTCAGATGATGCTGTGACACACCCCCCAGACCATGACGGACCCTCCACCTCCAAATCGATCCCGCTCCAGAGTACAGGCCTCAGTGTAACGCTCATTCCTTCGACAATAAACACAAATCCGACCATCACCTCTGGTGAGACAAAACCGCGACTCGTCAGTGAAGAGCTCTTTTTGCCAGTCCTGTCTGGTCCAGCGACAGTGGGTTTGTGCCCATAGGCGATGTTGTTGCCGGTGATGTCTGGTGAGGACCTGCCTTACAACAGGCCTACAAGCCCTCAGTCCAGCCTCTCTCAGCCTATTGCGGACAGTCTGAGCACTGATGGAGGGATTGTGCATTCCTGGTGTAACTCGGGCAGTTGTTATTGCCATCCTGTACCTATCCCGCAGGTGTGATGTTCGGATGTACCGATCCTGTGCAGGTGTTGTTACACGTGGTCTGCCACTGCGAGGATGATCAGCTGTCCGTCCTGTCTCCCTGCAGCGCTGTCTTAGGCGTCTCACAGTATGGACATTGCAATTTATTGCCCTGGCCACATCTGCAGTCCTCATGCCTCCTTGCAGCATGCGTAAGGCATGTTCACACAGATGAGCAGGGACCCTGGGCATCTTTCTTTTGGTGTTTTTCAGAGTCAGTAGAAAGGCCTCTTTAGTGTCATACGTTTTTATAACTGTGACCTTAATTGACTACTGTCTGTAAGTTGTTAGTGTCTTAACGACCGTTCCACAGGTGCATGTTCATTCATCGTTTATGGTTCATTGAACAAGCATGGGAAACAGTGTTTAAACCCTTTACAATGAAGATCTGTGAAGTTATTTGGATTTTTACGAATTATCTTTGAAAGACATGGTCCTGAAAAAGGGACGTTTTATTTTTTGCTGAGTTTTATCTCTCCTTTCTCCCAAAGTATGCACTTGTTCACTTCCCTTCATGGATTTTAAAGGACATTACTGGTAGCCTATAAGGAAACTCAGTCTAGGCCATGCCAACACGAGTTTTATAATTGTGGGGAATAGAGTGCATGTGGATCAGGAAGAACTGGACCCACTGGCTCCAGGCCATCTATAAATCACTGCTAGGCAAATCCCCGCCTTATCTTAGCTCATTGGTCACCATAGCAACACCCACCCGTAGTCTGCGCTCCAGCGGGTATATCTCACTGGTCATCCCCAAAGCCAACACCTCCTTTGGCCGCAATTCCTTCCAGTTCTCTGCTGCCAATGACTGGAACAAATTGCAAAAATCTCTGAAGCTGGAGACACTTATCTCCCTCACTAACTTTAAGCATCAGTTGTCAGAGCACCTTACCGATCACTGCACCTGTACACAGCCCATCTGAAATTAGCCCGCCCAACTACCTCATCCCTATATTGTTATTTATTTTGCTCATTTGTACCCCAGTATCTCTATTTGCACATCATCTCTTGCACATCTTTCATTCCAGTGTTAATACTAATTGTAATTATTTTGCACTATAGCCTATTTTATTGCCTTACCTCCATAACTTGCTAAATTTGCACACACTGTATATTATATGTATTTCTGTTGTATTTTTGACTTTGTTTTGTTTTACCCCATATGTAACTCTGTGTTGTTGTTTTTATCGCACTGCTTTGCTTTATCTTGGCCAGGTCGCAGTTGTAAATGAGAACTTGTTCTCAACTGGTTTACCTGGTTAAATAAAGGTGAAATAAAATAAAATAAATAAAAAATTGGGACTTAAACATGACCAATGTGGTCTCTTAAATTTACCAAGCCACATGCTTTCATTGCTCTAAATGAAAACAACACCATGTGATATGTTCCAGACTAAAGAAAGGGCATCAGGAAGTTTCTGTGTTTTTGAGAACTGGGCATGAGAAATGAGTCATCATCCTTATGTATAAATTCTAAAGACGGTGAACAAATGAACATCAGTTTCTAGCTGACTAGAGAGGGAAATGTATCTGGTGAGTGTTATTTCTCTGCTCAAATATACCGGGCTCTTTGGTGCCTATAGGAATGGATATTATAGTGTAGCCAATAACTCTTGAATCTCAATAGCCTCATGAAATAGTCATTTGATGGCGTTGGACAGCTATACTAAGAGACGTAACCTAGCCTACACAAAGGTTATGATTGATTCTAAATTATAACACTGCTCTTTCTTCCAATAGCTGATCGGTTTTTTTCTGCCGCTCCTGGTATTCGCACTCTGTGGCGGCAACCAGCCAGAGCCAGGCGCACCCACACCGACCTACATCTGGAGAGATGACATGACAGGGGTTTCCCTCACATGCGACAAATGTGCTCCTGGAACACACTTACGGAAGCATTGCACGAAGGACAGCAAAACTGAATGCGGACCTTGCCCAAAGTCCCACTACACAGAGATCTGGAACTACATTGAGCGGTGTCAGTACTGCAATATTTTTTGCACGGATAATCAGTTTGTAAGCGTGCAGTGCACCCGATTTCACAACCGAAAGTGCGAGTGTAAGGACGGGTTTTACATGAGACATGGGTCATGTTCAAGGCACAGCAAGTGTCCGCCCAGCAAAGGGGTGCTCTCGAATGGTAAGTGATAATATAATTTTAGGCTTTCATAATAAAGATGCCTTTTCCACTGCTATGTTTCCAGTTGGCTCTGCACACCACCAGGTTTTTCCTTTATTGTTGTTTATGGATTAAATACACCATGTAGGCTATACGATCAATATTCTTATTTTCCAGGAACAGCATACACTGATGTGACATGTGAACCTTGCAGAGGGGGCTTCTTCTCTGCAGAATCCTCCAGCAGCAAAACATGTCAGAAGTTCACTGTGTGTGCTCCAGGTCGCACCACTATACCGGGCGACGACAGGCATGACGTTTACTGCTCAGCGTGTAAGAATGGTTCAATAACACATGAAGGTGAGGGATTGATGTCAACTTGAACAATATAATCCACAATAAATGTTGAACATTTGAAGATTTTCGCCATGCAGTTGTTTAGTATTTTGTATACACATGGAAAAACATGTATTGAATGACTGGTTTGACAATTGTATAATGTTGTTACCTTCTTACCTACTAAAACTGAAACTGAAAAGCCTTGTTGTTTATCACAAATGGTGGTTGTAAAGTGGTTATCCCGCTGGCTATAAGGTGAATGCACCTATTTGTAAGTCGCTCTGGATAAGAGCATCTGCTAAATGACGTAAATGTAAATGTAAATGGTCTCATTTCTTGGAATGCAGTCAATTAATTGGTTGCTCTCTTTTCTATCCCTCGTTCACCCAATCAGATGAAGCTATCTGTGACGGGGAGTTGATGGAATTCCTGGGACTGCAGATCCTCCCACCAAGAAAGCACAAAAGACTGATGACTGTGCTCATGAGGAATGCGGGGAAAAACTTCACCAAAAATGCAACTGTCCTAGACCTTCTCACAACTATTAAGAACAAACCTAGCAACAACAAATCTTTTGCTAGTCGAATACATGACATCCTGGACACAGACATGCTGCTCCATTTAAGACGTAAAGTCAGCAAATGGTTTCCTCATATGACTTCATAGGACTAATATTTATCATAGAATATATTCTATATTCTAATATATTGTAAAATTTATTTTTCACTCCAAAGAATTCTATTTTATTTAGGATTATATATATACTACCCGTGTTTTAGAACACCTACTCATTCAAGGGTTTTTCTTGATTTGTACTATTTTCTACATTGTAGAATAATAGTGAAGACATCAAAACTATTAAATAACACATATGGAATCATGTAGTAACCAAAAAAGTGTTAAACAAATCAAAATATATTTTATATTTGAGATTCTTCAAATAGCCACCCTTTGCCTTGATGACAGCTTTGCACACTCTTGGCATTCTTTCAACCAGCTTCACCTGGAATGCTTTTCCAACAGCTTTTTTGCAGCAATTCGACCATGAAGGCCTGATTCACACAGTCTCCTCTGAACAGTTGATGTTGAGATGTAACTGTTACTTGAACTCTGTGAAGCATTTATTTGGGCTGCAATTTCTAAGGCTGGTGACTCTAATGAACTTATCCTCTGCAGCAGAGGTAACTCTGGGTCTTCCATTCCAGTGGCGGTCCTCATGAGACCAGTATCATGATAGCGCTTGATTGGTTTTGTGACTGCACTTCAAGAAACTTTCAAAGTTCTTGAAATGTTCCAGATTGACTGACCTTCATGTCTTAAAGTAACGATGGACTGTCATTTCTTTATTTTCTTTGATTATTTGAGCTGTTCTTGCCATAATATGGACTTGGTCTTTTACCAAATAGGGCTATCTTCTGTATACCCCCCCCCCCGTACCTTGTCACAACACAACTGATTGGCGCAAACGCATTAAGGAAAGAAATTCCGCAAATTAACTTTTAACAAGGCACACCTGTTAATTGAAAATGCATTCCAGGTTACTACCTCATGAAGCTGGTTGAGAGAATGCCAAGCGTGTGCAAAGCTGTCATCAAGGCAAAGGGTGATACTACATGATTCCATATGTGTTATTTCATAGTTTTGATGTCTTCACTATTATTCTACAATGTAAAAAAAATTAAAAATAAAGAAAAACCCTTGAGTAGGTGTGTCCAAACTTTGGACTGGTAGTGTACAGTTGTGGTCAAAAGTTTTGAGACATTTTCACAAAGTCTGCTGCCTCAGTTTTGATGATGGCAATTTGCATATACTCCTGAATGTCATTAAGAGTGATCAGATAAATTGCATTTAATTGCAAAATCCCCCTTTGCCATGAAAATGAACTTAATCCCTAAAAAAAAACATTTCCACTGCATTTCAGCCCTGCCACAAAAGGACCTGCTACCATCATGTCAGTGATTCTCTTGTTAACACAGGTGAGAGGGTTGACGAGGATAAGGCTTGAGATCACTCTGTCATGCTGATTGAGTTAGAATAACAGACTGGAAGCTTTAAAAGGAGGGTGGTGCTTGGAATCATTGTTCTTCCTCTGTTAACCATGGTTACCTGCAAGGAAACACGTGCCGTCATCATTGTTTTGCCCAAAAAGGGCTTCACAAGCAAGGATATTGCTGCTAGTAAGATTGCACCTAAATCAACCATTTATCGGATCATCAAGAACTTCAAGGAGAGAGGTTCAATTGTTGTGAAGAAGGCTTCAGGGCGACCAAGAAAGTCCAGCAAGCACCAGGACCGTCTCCTAAAGTTGATTCAGCTGCGGGATCGGGGCACCACCAGTGCAGAGCTTGCTCGGGAATGGCAGCAGGCAGGTGTGAGTGCATCTGCACGCACAGTGAGGCGAAGATTTTTGGAGGATGGCCTGGTGTCAAGAAGGGCAGCAAAAAAGCCACTTCTCTCCAGGAAAAACATCAGGGACAGACTGATATTCTGCAAACTTACAGGGATTGGACTGCTGAGGACTGGGGTAAAGTCATTTCTGTTGAACCACTTTCTCAAAAAGGGTTTGTGTCCTATCCCACTTCGGTGAGACTCGGCTTGTCTTCGAATGGAGTGTTCGTTAGAATAGATACTTCAGATGGACCAACGGTTGTCTGAGAGGGATTGTCCTTCCCAACTAGTGTCTTTAGTGAAAGTTATCTAGACGACTATGCATGCCAGCTGCAGACTGATATGACAAGGTCTAGTGCATTTATCTGCTTCTTCACCTCGTGTAGAGGTTGAGAGTTTCAGAGTTTCACCATTTCATACGTATGAACTACCGTCTCACGTTTTCTGGTCTGTAGAGTGTCAACCATTTTAAGCCGTGGGGCTTCCTGGTCTTTTCTGAAATCGACTTTAGGTTTCAGTCCTAGGATTTTTTTGTTGTTGCTTTAAACCCTGGGAGGGTCTTATAATAGGACAAAATATACAAAGATGGTTCTGCTTGTATGTTATGTGCTATGTATTATATTGTGAAACAGTCCTTTAAAATAAATAAACACTCAAAACATCATAGACGTGTGTCAAGATCATTGAACTCTGCAGGAGTTGGTGAACTCTGTAGATGTACGTGTTGTTGGTGTTCCATCGAAGGTTATGCTGCACTTCAAATGGCAATGCATGTCACTGGTACTTTCAAAAAGAATCCTCAAGTCCTAAGCCACCAACTCTGACGAAGACCCATCATCGCCTCATGAAAACATACAGACCTTGGGGGCCTCATTTGTAAAACCATCGTAAGCACATATTCGATCATAAATTGTGCCTACAACGAAAACCACAGCAACAATGTGATTTATAAATCTTGAATTTGATGTAAAAAAAATGCAATTTACATAGATTCTGCATTCAATTGTGTGATTTATAAATGAAACATGCTTATTTGTGACTAACAACTTTATTTGATATAAAAACAGAGCATTTTATAAATGAGGCCCCAGGACCTTATCACTTGGCATTGAAATTAACATTTAACAACATTAGTTTTATCAACATGGTCTCTATGCATTACATTAGCCACTGCTACTAAAAATCAATACTAGCCTATAAGTATAGGTCAAATGCACTGGCACCTCCAACACAAAGTTCCTCTGCCTGCCCCGACCCTGAGCCTGCCTGGAGCTCTGTACCTTACGGACTCTGCCCTGGACTACCGACCTCTGCCTGCCCTTGACCTGTCCTTTGCCTGCTCCTTACATTATTCAAACTGTCTGCATTTGGGTCTTTTCCTGAGCCGTGATAGTACGAACTGACCATGACGGACCCAGCAGACTCAGACCAGCTCCGCAACACCGTCTCCTCCCAAGGAGCCACCATTGGAAGGCACAAGGAGTTGCTTTGTGGCCTTATGGAAGGTTTCCAGACCTTGGCAGAACGCCATGACCGCTCGTTGAATACATTGCTGGAGCAATTACGAGGGTTGTCTGTTAGGCAGCCTACCACGACGGTAAACTCCCAGCCCCTCAGTAACCCGGCTGTCAGCAGCGCGTCTCTCCCGACCACCCCGGCTTACCGAGAACCCCGCTTACCTCCCCCGGAATGCTTCGCTGGAGAGTCGGGAACCTGTCGGCCGTTTCTCTCTCAGTGTTCCCTCATCTTCTAGCTGCAGCCCTCCTCCTTCGGATCGCTCGAAGATAGCGTACCTCATCATGCTGATGTCCGAGAGGGCTCTCGCCTGGGCTACGGCAGTGTGGGAACAACAGTCTGCCATGTGCTCCAGTCTGGAGGAGTTTGTGGCTGAGGTGAAGAAGAAGGTTTTCGATCCTCCGTTGTCCGGGAGAGAGGCTGCCCGGAAGTTACTCCAGCTTCGGCATGACTCCCACAGTGTGGCAGACTATGCTGTGGATTTCCGCACGAGAAAAAGTATTAAAATCTGATCATATACACCCCCAGGAAGGATATGACACCTTTAAAAAAAAACTTTATGACAGGGAGCACTTACAGTGCCTTGCAAAAGTATTCATCCCCTTTGGCGTTTTTCCTATTTTGTTGCATTACAACCTGAAATTTAAATTGATTTTAATTTGGATTTCATGTAATGGACATACACAAAATAGTCCAAATTGGTGAAGTTGAATGAAAAAAATAACTTGTTTCCAAAAATTCTAAAAAATCAATAACGGAAAAGTGGTGCGTGCATATGTATTCACCCCCTTTGATATGAAGCCCCTAAATAAGATCTGGTGCAAACAATTACCTTCAGAAGTCACATAAATAGTTAAATAAAGTCCACCTGTGTGCAATCTAAGTGTCACATTATCTGTCACATGATCTCAGTATATATACACCTGTTCTGAAAGGCCCCAGAGTCTGCAACACCACTAAGCAAGGGGCACCACCAAGCAAGTGGCACCATGAAGACCAAGGAGCTCTCCAAACAGGTCAGGGACAAAGTTGTGGAGATGTACAGATCAGGGTTGGGTTATAAAAAAATATCCTTAACTTTGAACATCCCACGGAGCACCATTAAACCATTATTAAAAAATGGAAAGATTATGGCACCACAACAAACGTACCAAGAGAGGGCCGCCCACCAAAACTCACGCACCAGGCAAGGAGGGCATTAATCAGAGAGGCAACAAAGAGACCAAAGATAACCCTGAAGGAGCTGCAAAGCTCCACAGCGGAGATTGGAGTATCTGTCCATAGGACCATTTTAAGCCGTACACTCCACAGAGCTGGGCTTTACGGAAGAGTGGCCAGAAAAAAGCCATTGCTTAAAGAAAAAAATAAGCAAAAGGCATGTGGGAGACTCCAAACATATGGAAGAAGGTACTCTGGTCAGATGAGACTAAAACTGAGTTTTTGGCCATCAAGGAAAACGCTATGTCTGGCGCAACCCAACACCTCTCATCACCCCGAGAACACCATCCCCACAGTGAAGCATGGTGGTGGCAGCATCATGCTGTGGGGATGCTCCCGAGTGGCGCAGTGGTCTAAGGCACTGCATCGCAGTGCTAGCTGTGCCACTAGAGATCCTGGCTCAAATCCAGGCTCTGCTGTTGCCGGCCGCAACCGGGAGACCAATGGGGCGGCGCACAATTGGCCCAGCGTCGTCCAGGGTAGGGGAGGGAATGGCCGGCAGGGAGGTAGCTCAGTTGGTAGAGCATGGCGTTTGCAACGCCAGGGTTGTGGGTTCGATTCCCACGGGGGGCCAGTATGAAAATAAAAAAGAATAATGTATGCACTAACTGTAAGTAGCTCTGGATAAGAGCGTCTGCTAAATGACGTAAATGTAAATGTAATGTTTTTCATCT